GGAGTACAAATGTACAAAAAATGTTTCTATGTTCCTCAAGTGATAATGACTGCTAGCATTTATTTTAGATTGATTGCCATTCCTGACATGATTGAGACATGTGATCGCTATGGGCTGCAGAAAAAGATCACCAGGTTCGTCATACCCCTCTCCGCCGCTCTAAAAGGTGACGCCTCGGGCGTGTTTCAGGCCGTAGCCTGCGTCTTCATAGCCCAACTCACGGGCTTCAATTTGACTGCTGGAACCTATGTGATCATTGCGTAGGTCTCAGTAGCATTCTTTCCAGGCACGATTTGAAAACTTGCTTGTGGAAAGACAAGCTAATGCCAATTTAACGAAAGGGGACATTTCAGCACCACTCAAGAGTGACCTCAACACCCAATGCAAAATAAGGCCTAAGTTCTAACGTTTTTTTTGCCTACTGGTCATCCCCACTAGTTTTGCACAAATGGTTCAATTCTTGTTGAATGATATTTATGGTCGTCAATATGGCCGTTTCTAAGTCCACACAAAAGTTTCAAAATGACAACACCGCTCACCGTTAGCCACAAAATACCCTTTTGAGGACATTAGTAGACGAGAACTTACAACCACAGTAAACCTTCTTTTTTCAGTCTGTTGACCGGATTCGCGACACTTGCCATTCCCAACGTTCCAAGTTCAAGCATCGTCATCATAATTACAATTTTATCGTCGATTGGCGTTCCAACCGGAGAAGTTTCGCTGCTATTTGCAGTTGAGTGGTTAATGTAAGTTTATCACCTTTTCTTTTGCTTAATTCAGTGGTTTAATTTACGCCATCAGAACCATGTAATGTTAAGGCGTGGGACCAGTAGACGTAACGAATTGATATTGTGATTCTCAACCCATTATATGAGGATACACTGCAAAAAGTCAAACCGGAACTGAGAAAGTGAACTGTCAATTACTCCGTAAGATCTGCAGTGAAAGTAACTTAAAAGTAGTAGTTGAGATTTGCACATCATATTCCCACAAATCTTATTTCATCAAAACTTATTAATACTATTTGTTACGACGCGAAAGTTTACATTCCTTTGTGGTGGATAGTTCTGTAAAAGACAGACATCTTTAATCTATTAATTACTATTAGTATGACAATTTAACGTCGTAAATTCAATATACTTTATCCCTAAGGGATCGTTGCCGTTCGGGTTCGCTTGGATTGGGACATTTGTTCGCTGCAGCTTTTACGCATTCGGTTGTCGTGGGAAAGCGATCGGAGGGTAAAATCGACGAGGAGCATCAATCGGACGCCTTCGAGGGTGACGAGTGTCGAATCGAGGAATTGAAATGACTGTGACCCTTACCAAGTGCTTGACCTGCATTGATCTCAGATGGACTTAACAGTGGTTGCATCCTCACGCTTTGCTATTGAATAACACAGAGTTCAGTCATGGTCAGTTAGCGTCAATGTTTGAAAGGCTCCTGTATCAGATGGCTTAACTTTAAGCCAAGCTGCACTTAAGGTGTCAATGATGCATTCAGGATTGGTGGGCCTTTTGCGAAACAATATCAAGTTCGTATTTGTGAGCATGTAGGAGTATGCTTACGTAGTTTATGAGGAAATTGTATTAACAACTCATCATCTCCGTTTATTTTTCGATGTCGAAAGAAAATCATTTATTCTATAGCCATAGCACACACAGCATATTCGGCGGCTTCAGAAAAAAGCATAGGTTGCCTTCTTCTCAAGCAACAATCATTAAAATGATTACAGCCACGATCTTGCACTGCAGTTGCTTATTACATTGA